AACGAATTAACCGCTGTGCCACTAGTCGGTCGATTTAAAAAGGGTATAAATAGGAATGTGTACTGCAATTTCTTTCACTGCATATGTTAATATATTTATAATGCAGTTTTATATATATATTTGAATTTAACAAATATTCTCTATTCGTGAAATATATATATAGTTATTTATTTATTTAAAACAGATTTTGTTTGCCTTAATTTTTATGCTTCTGGAAGTTACCAGAGATATGTTGGTAATGGCAGATATATTGGTAATGACGCTCATGCAACCCTCCTGTTCGCGGAATTCGAATCTCGGACCGAACTACCAGTGTTCAGCGATTTCACCACTCGGCCGGCCGCTAGTGGTATCGATTTAAAAAGGATATAAATAGGATTATGTTCTGCAATTTCTTTCATTGCATATGTTAAAATATTTATAATACAGTTTTAATATATAAATATATATTATTATTATTATTATCATTATTATTATAAGTAAAGTTCTAAGAACAAACGAAAAAAGACCAATAATTATTTAAAACAGCTTTTATATTCTTTACGCTTTTATGCTTCTGGAAGTTATCAGAGATATATTGGGAATGACAGATATACTGGTAATGACGCCCATGCAGCCAGCACCTTCGCGGGATTCGAAACTCGGACGGAACTACAAGTGTTCAGCGGTTTTACCGCACGGCAGCTGTTGAGAACAATTTAAAAAGGATACAAATAGGAATATGTACTGCAATTTCTTTCACTCCATATGTTAATATATTTATAATACAATTTTTACATATATATGTGTGTATATTTATATATTTATTTAGAACAGGTTTTGTGTGCCTTATACTTTTATGCTTCTTGAAGTTACCAGAGATATGTTGTTAATAACAGATATATAGGTCTGAACCAGAAATATATCAGTTGGGTTATTTGAGAAGTTACAGATGCTATTTGTTCTGGTATTTTCACCATACGGATAAAATTTACGGTAAGGAGTTTTCAACAAAATAAAATCAAATTACGATTTAATCGAAAGTTTGGATTTCCTGATGTCATCAGCGGTGTAACTGGTATCTATAATTGCACCTAATGACGCGGAAGAATGCCAAGGTTCATTTATATAAGCAGAAAATCCTTCCATTCGCTTAATGTGCAGTTGTTGTGTAATTTTTCCTTCCATTATATATATATTTTTGCAAAAGAATATAGTAAAGTTAAATTAATTTAATTAATGTAATAAATTTAAATGTATACATATAAGAACAAATAGTAAAGTTAAATTAAATTTAATTAATTCCCTTGTGCTTTTGCTGCAAGGAATGAAATTTAAATTTAACAAATATTCTCGCATTCGTATAAAGCTAATTTAAATTTAAATTTTGAAAATTAGCTTTATACGGATGAGAGAACATTTGTTATATTAATATACATATATAAATATATTACGTGATAAGTATAAGACATTAATAAATAAAATTATTAATATAATCCTGAGTTGCTAAAAATGTAAAAAATTTTTTATTCAAATTCAATAGGAATATTAAACACGCGTACGCGATGCTATATTTCAATGATTTGATTTATGAGATTGTTGCATATCCTTTAAAGACAAAAATTTAATCGTAAAATTCCTGTTAACAAATAGTTTACAAGCATGTAATCTTTTAGTAAGTTTCCATTTGGCATAAGATCATAAGTGAAATTATGCTTATGTTTCTTCACAAACCTGAAGTTTTGGAAAGGCCATTTGTTTTACGTTTAATCTATTAACTCTTCCCATTTATCCCATCAGTTTACCGCTTGAGAGCAGCGGAATTTTTCGAAAAATTTCACCATCTACTTAAACTGGTAGATGATTTTTTTTTTTTTCCTGGGCTACCACTGTCCTCAGCACGTGCGAAACAGCACTTTTGACAGCAAACTATCCCCAAAGAACTTCTAACCACTCAGACTTAAAAACTCAGACTCTAAAAAACTCAGACCGGTTTGCTATGCAATATAAGTCACTTCCACACGGAATTTCCACTTCTCTTTCCGCGGACGGAATTTGAATCGATCAGACTCGCTCTCTTGTCTGCTGTCGAGTGGAAAGAGAATCCCGACTGGTTTTCCGATATCGATCTCGACCGGTGTCTAGCCTATATCCCCAAAACAGTATTCTCCACAATATCTGACCGTTAAACAATCGCCGAAAATAGTGTTACGGATTGTGCTTAGATAGTAGATTTTAGTAGAATTCAAATTTAAAATGTTGTATTTCCCCATGCAATGCAGCGGGAGACAAATTTTATTAAGAGAAAGCTATGCCGGAAAAGTAAGAATACAGGGGCACGTGCACTTAACAACTTTGAGTAAACGGTTATCTCGGTAATCCTCTTTAGAAATCATAAATTTACGGATGTTTACATTGCGTTTGCTGAAACGTATGGGTTGGCACATCATTTCATCGCCATTCTTGGCGATATTTTTTGGTTAAAATTCTGGGTGGGCTGTAGTAAAGCTGTTCCAAAACTTATATTAATTTCAAGACTTCAAATATGCAAACTACTCTTAGACAGCCGGTCTGTGTTCTCTCTCTGCGCTTCTTCCAAATCGTCTTCTTAGGGTTGCTGTATTTAACGGCAGCAACGCACGTGCAAGGTGTTAAAGCTTACACGACAAATATCATCGACATTTCTAGGTTTCAGTATTTAAAAGTATAAATAACCCTTCAGCATGAAGCAGCCTTAATTGAAGACTCGCATCATAGGTTTAAAATAGTCAGTATCCTGAAAAAACTATAACTGCTGTGATTATTCACAGAATAAAATCAGTTTCAACTAAAACAAACTTTACTATCACGAAAGAAACAGTAACGCTAATATATCGTTTTAGCACTTGAATATCTGACACTGTTGCCATACACAAATTACTAAACTATACTAACAAAATCTAAGTGAGGCTTTCTCATGAGCCGAGAAATATAAAATACAATATAATAAACATTAAAATAAGTAATGTATTCTTAACACAAGACGCACTCATTATCACTATCAGCAGCAACTCATCATTGATTGCGTTGAATAATTTACATGTGCGGTTTATCTTTGTTATTTTTGCATATATACTAAGCTAATGTATTTTTCTAATCTTAATTAAAGTAATAAATATAAAACTAAGTGTATCATCTTCATGCTTGCATTAACCCAGATTTCTGTGGAATGGTGATTCGAATTTCGATGAAGGTAAGACGTGACATAAGCTAAAATACTTAACAGGTAAATAAAAGGCTGACGGGAATTCCCTTCCGCTGAAACTGTGATATTTCTCGTTAGGGGTGAATTCTTACCTGGTTGAGAGTCCCTGTTTTAGACTGCAATTCATCAAAAATATTCTTTATCATCTTACTCAAATTATTCCACAGAGCTCCTACATTCCAGAAGAACAGTTTGGCTTCCGCCATCTTCACAGTGCTAATCACCAGCTGCTTCGTGTCATCAACTATATTACTGACGGTTTCAATTGTAAGTTCCCTACCGGAGCCATTTTCCTTGATATTGCGAAAGCTTTTGATAGGGTATGGCACCAGGGACTTATATACAAACTTATCAAGTTAAACTTCCCCGATCATTGTATTAGACTTATTGCTTCCTATCTCCAAGACAGAATCTTTGCAGTGAAAATTGGCAGTTCTGTTTCTTCCACGAGAAAAATTTTCGATGGAGTGCCTCAAGGATCTGTACTTTCTTCATATTTATATAACAATTACATTTACGGTATTCCTAAGGACCCACAAATTACCATTGCTCTTTTCGCTGATGATTTTCGCTTATGACCCAAGCTTCTACTGTTACTGATGTCCAGCTCCTTCTTCAACATTATCTCAATCATCTAAAAAATTGGCTCACTCATTGGAGGATTGCAGTTAATACCGAAAAATCAAAAGCAATAATTTTTCAAAGGTCAAACAAATTTCACTCCACCTAGACCTCTTCTGTTTGATGAAAAAATTGACTGGGTTGACGAAGTTAAATATCTAGGAGTCATTTTTGATAAAAAATTTACTTTTCAGAAACATTTCAGGGAAACAGTGAAAAAAATCAATATCACGCTTGCAACTATGCGCCGACTTCTTGGCAGAAGAAGTCATATGTCCGTTTCTAATAAACTCCTCTTATGTAAATCTATACTTCGACCAGCATTACTCTATGCTAGTCCCGTCTGGGGCCACGCTGCCAAAACTCACCTTCACCCAAGTTCACCCACGCTGCATCACCCAAGTTCTTCAAAATAAAGCACTCAGAGAGATCATCAACGCGCCATGGTTCATTCCAAATTCTTATATTCACCGTGATCTCAAAGTAGATACAATTCAAGATTATATTCAAAAACTTGCCAGAAAAAAAATTTCTTCTATTCAGTTCTTCACTCATCCTAACAACTGCATTCAACTCTCTTAGATGTTCTCCATTTCCCAGAGAAAAGCACAAATATCCATCTGACATTCTCCATCCTTAACAATTTTTACTTATACTAGATGCTTCAGTTTACTGATTTGGACCTTCAACCAGACACTCACCTTTTTCGTCGACTGATGGCGGCCACCTGACTTTTACTTTCGTCTTTTGTTTTACTGATGTTCTTCACGTGATATAGAGTAAAAGAAGGCGCTGCTTTCTGAAACTCAAATTCACTATATGTTCTTAGAAGTTCATCAAAAAAGTACGTTTCAAATTTTTTTTTTTTTTTTTTTTTTTTTTTTTTAGGGAAGCTATGTACGCGATGTTTCCGAAGGACTGAGAAAAATTTGACTTTTACTATGGCTTTAGAAATCTCAGTTGTGCTAGAATTTGTTGATTAGCAAAGATAAGAATTTAGAACATCGGAAATATTTGAAAATTTAAATTAAAAAGCAGAAAATATAAATTCATTACTTGATTATATCGATGATTGATTTCTCCGATTAAATATTTGTTGCACGTAATGCGCATGCTCACTTGCTCATTTCACCTACGTCATAGCATTGCGTGATTTTCCTTTTGCATCATCCAGCTAGTAGTCTGTATTATAACTTTCTTGCAAATTGCAAATATGTCTTTAAAAATGGAATTTTCTCTAGCCGAAAGTCATTCAAGTTTTTTCATTTTGTCACAAGTTTTTATATCTTTATGAAAGTTCAATGAAGTTTAGCTACGTAAGTTTTAATTTATTTTAAAATATTTTGGTAGATGTCATATTCCAGGCTGAAGATGAAATTATTGTGGAATGCGTTTAGATTCGATTTTTTTTTCCTTTGAATTTTAAGTTAATTCCTTTCAGTCCATATTTATTTATTTATGTGTTATATGATGAATATTTTGTTTTTGCGTTTTATTTTGCCATAATAGTTTTAACTTCTGATATCATGCATATGTAGTCATTATTTCCTTGCTCTACTTAATTAATTCGTATTTTTATGTAATCCCACAAAATATATTAATATAGGGTATTTATATGCAATTAATTAAAGAATCTGAATAGTTTATATTTTGCCGTAATACAATACATTTACCATCTTGCAGTACTTTCTGATTGCGCGTGTAATTATCCCTTTGTTCTATGTACTAATATTATTTTATGTAATTGTTCTCATGTTCTCACGAAACGAAGACTTTATGCAATTCTTTACAGAATCAAAATGAATGTGTTTTCAGCATATGGTCATGAATTTTCCAAACAGTCCTAGTATATCATTTTCTTAATTATATAAATAGCAAACTAGGCATAATTCCAGCGGGGAATATCATTTTCAATAGCAATAATTTCTTACCTTGTGTAATGTTTAAACAGAGTCATTTTTTTTTTTTTTTTTTTTTTGACCCGGAGAATGGGAACTGTTGTGTAATGAACCCCCCAAAATATAAAAGGTGTACTAAAAAAATTATTGAAATAATTATGTGATATTGTATATTATGCAACATTCATGAAAATTGTACATGCATATAATATGCATGTAATATATATTGTTAACCAAGTAGTGGTATGTAATATAATGACTCCAATATGTAATGTTAAGGCTGGTTAAATGTTGATGAATTAGACAAAAATGCTAATAGAATTTAAAAAAAAGGGTGGAGGAAAGAAGGAAAGGAAAGAAAAACATAACATTTATACAAGTAAATATTGTTTAGTATCTAAAAAAATTTAAAATATTTGTTATAGTTCTATCAGAATCTTGCAGTGTAGCATTGCAATCTATTATTGCATAAATTTTCTTCTGTTATCATTATAATTATGCTTATGAAGATATCCTAATTTTTTTTTTTCCTCCTGAGCTAGCCCAGTTTAATGATAATAGCCTCTACGTCCTAGCCAGTTTGTCATTTTGTGCCTCCCCTTTTTTTGTTGCAAAATCTTATAAGTACTGAATATAGGAGAAATAAAAATGCATAAAATAGCAATTTCGCAATTAAAATATCCCACTCTGTATTACCAGGCTAAATATTTTGTATCTAGATCTGAGTACTTTTAGTATTGTCTAGATGTTTTCTCCAAAAATTATAACATGTGCCCTAATGAATGAGATGTTTTATTTTTTCACAGAAATCTTTAATAGTATGTAGCCTATAAGATCCAGATATTTTTATTTAAATTTTTAGATATTTTGTTTAAGTTAGATTGGCACCAGTGCCGTGGCAAGGGGGGGACATCTGTACTCGCACGCAGCATCTAGGCGGCTCCAAATTGATGCTAGAAATTTTTTAATGAAATGTTTGCCATTCTTGGCACACAGAAAGGGGTGCAAATTCTTCAGTTGTCCCCACGTGTTGGAATCCTAGCTATGCTACTGATTGGCACATACAGTTGCTGTGCCACAGTTTGGCATATCTTAGTTTACATTACAAGTTGTCTTTTGTGATTATTTTTTATTGTACATTAAATTAATCTCTAAAATGCCAAAAAGAAACTGATGTATTAAAGAAAAGGGTTATCCATCTTTGCCAAAGGTTTGTGAGTATACTGAAATTCTGAAAGTAAAATATATTTCAGCGTGCGTTTTTTTTTTTTTTTTTTTTTTTTTGGGGGGGGGGGCACCTTTTCTCTTAACATCTGATGCCCAGGGCTTAATTTCTAAGATTAGAAGTGCCGGAGCCCTATGGAGGACAGTCGGCAAAGAGGAGTAGAGTAAATAAATAAAATGACATTAAACTCATTAATAATTTTAAATTAAATAATTAATTATTATAAATTAATTAATAGCTATTTAATTAATGTTTTAAAACGTGTTATTAATCAATAATTATTATATAATTAATTATAATTTAATTGATAATTGATAGAAAATTAATTATTTATTGAAATAATTAAAGATTGAAGTAATTAAATAATTAAAATTAAATAGAATGTAAAGAGATAAACTTAAATTTAATAAGCGATTTTTAATACAATTTTATTATTAAAATAAAATTTTCGAGATAAAATTTCTACTGAAATTGTTATTCAATTACATAAAAGAAGTGCCGCAGCTTTCTTATTCAGGGCTTCCGTGTGTTCCAGCTAGAATTATGATTTATTACAAAAACTAAGAAGCTTCGGAGCAGAGATCCGGTGGGCTCCAGCCCAATTTAAGTTCTGATCGTAAGGAAGGGGGGGGAGTTCTTTTATCATAAAAATTAAATATATTTAAAGTATAGCTGGTGAAGATTCCAGAGCGAAAGAAAATGAGGGTATGAGTGGATGGAAACAAAAAATGAGGAGAATCTTGGTGAGAGATAACGTTCTCTGTGACCGCGGCTTTTTGCTGATATAATTATAGCGATCAAGCATATGTGTGTCATAGTTAAATTGAGTCCTGAATCTGACTTCTAAGGATGAATGTAAAGTTGCTGGTTACACTTTTCACCCCCCCGTATTTGGTTACATTAGTGGATAATGTGGGAAGACGATGTATAAGACGTGCTTGAGCAGTTTATCTCAGTATTTCACTCTTATTGTACTCGCTGTCACTTAACGCACATTTAAGAACACAAATTTTCCTTGCTGCGAGGATAACTAACTGTAAGCATCGATAACGATACACTAGATATGATGGCATGACGAGAAAGTTACGCGTTCCTAAACAAATTCCCCCAAATTTATTGCCCTTCTTAAAGGAAAAGGTTTCCGCATGTGAGTGAGAGGACTTTACTTGAACGTCTCATGTTCTCATGAGTTCATATTTCTAGGGAAATAGAGTATTGCAAGGTCTGCTTATTGTTAAACTAAAATGTTAGGAATTCTAAATTTTTTCCCTTTAAATTGTGGTTCAGTTTTATAAAAAGAAGTACCGAAGCTCATCTTATTTAGGGCTCTGGTGCGCTCCAGCTAGAATCTTAATTTATCTTAAAAATTGAGAAGTACCGAACCGGGCTCCTGTGGGCTCCGGTGCAATTTAAACACTGCTAACGCCCCCCTCCCCCAAAAATGGCGTCCAAAACATGATCTTAATAAACTTCATTTTAAATGTGACAAGGAAATAACGTAGAATGGAAATGTATGTTATCTAATCTACGCAGGAAATACCGACTTACCTTATTTAAAAGTTTCTGTTTCTTAGGTATGTGTGACACACAGAATTCCTTAACAGTATCCAAAAACTATTTAAAATTATCTAAACTATAATCTCTATGCTGCCATCGTATATAAATTCGCAAAGAAAAAAAATTATCCTTTGGACTGTCAGTAGCATTTCTTTCGAAAATCATTTTTCATTACATTCCACATAGCTTCCATAGTACTGATATGAGCTGTGGTTTCCAAATCCCTAAATCTCGCTGTGTAATTTGCTGAGAGGAGGTTGAAGCCATTTAAATCTTCATTTGCACACAACTCGATGTTATCTTTCCCAGTCATTCCAAAGTATAAAAAAACTTCAGGTTAATCGTGCCATCAGCAGGCATTTTACAGTATAAAGCACAAAGTAAACAACATACGAGGAAAAAGCAGAATCGCCCATTGTTTCGTGCATTTCTCAAAATTGCCAACTTGAAAATAAGTCAAACAATTGTACAAATTTGGCATTGCACACTCCCTTGACTTTGTCCATGTACACATTGATACATGCCCTATAAGTGGACGATTCTTCATTAACTTGAAAATAACAAGTTAATTGCACAAACTTGGCATTGTGCACCCTCTTGACTTTGTCCATGTACACATCCATACGCGCCATATAAGTGGGTGATTCTGCACTTGAGCCTAACATACTTTGTAACCAACATCCAACACATAAATAAGCCCTTACAAATATACTGTGCTTAAAAAAGAATATACGTATTACAAAGTGTTATTTTGTCCAAACTATCGATCACAGCTCCTTAACTCGGCTATTGGTGAAATTAATACATAGTCTAGTTTATATTAATAGCTGCTAGATGTCGGTTGTCTTCTGTTTTGCGTGGTAACCGTCACATATTTAATATGGCTACTCCACAGCAGAAATCATTTTGTGTTCTCGAGTTTGCGAAGTGCAATTCCATGATTACAGTGCAGACTTTTCAAGTTGAGGTACCAAAGTGATCTTTGGAATGGGTGGAACGTTTGCAGATGGTATCTATAGTTTGTAAATACAGGATGTGTATGTAAAGGAAAGAGTCCTGGCCGCCCTCGTGTTCCTGACAAAAATGTTGCACAAATTCAAACAGCTTTCCAACGTAGTCCTTCAAAATCAACTTGTCTTGCCAGTCGCGAGTTACAACTACCTACAACAGCAATTTGGCATGTTTTGAGATGTTGGTTGATTGTGAAGCCGTACAAAAGTTACATTTGTTACAGGCTCTACGTCCTGATTGACAAACACAAATGTGTGGCATTTTGTGACGAGATCATTGATGCTGTTGACAATGATAACACTTTCGCACTGCATGTTCAGTGATGAAGCGATCTTTCATGTTAGTGGTCTTATAAACAAACACAATGTTCGAATTTGGGGCCTACTGAACCCACATGCAGCCATTGAACATGTACGAGATTCGCCCAAAATCAATGTGTTTTGTGCGATATCCCGATCATCTGTTTACGGCCCATTCTTCTTTGATGGAAACATGGTTAACGGTCAACAGTATCTCGCTATGTTACAAAACTGGTTGTTTCCGATGCTGCACGAAGACAATTTCATTTTTCAACAAGACGGGGCATCCCCTCACTGGTGTCGCCAACTGCGTGATTATCTGAATGAAACTCTACCGAACCATTGGATTGGTCGTCAAGGAGCTGCTGCCGTAGCATGTCTCAGCTGGCCTCCACGGTCACCGGATTTGACACCTGTGACTTCTTCCTGTGGGGTTTCATTAAAGACAATGTTTATGTACCACTATTCCCACAGAACCTGGAAGAGGGGAAGAACCGGATTCGTACTGTCATAACATCAGTGACGATGGTCATGCTTGTCCGAGTATGGGAGGAATTTGAATATCGATGTGATATTGTTCGTGTCACTAATGGAGGACATATTGAACATCTATAACATCCGTAATCTGAAATTGAGAGGTTACACTTAAATAAATATATGCACTCAAAATAGGTAAATTCTTTTTTAAACACGTGAAACACGCTGTATTTTCCCAACAGTCAAAATCACCGCAATCATGCATTACAATCACATTGTAATAAGGTTTCCATAACATTTAACTACTTACATTACCATAAATGAAACAACAACTTGGCGATAATCCAGTGGGTACCCTAAAATATTGACTAACCAAACTGAAATATGAACCATGCCTGAATTTTCAGTTCCTCATAGTGGGCATTCAAGATGACAAATCCCTTCAAATTTGCGAAACATAAGGCAAGCCTGTTAGTGGCGACTTAAAATAATAAATTCTTAATAGCAGCTAAAGAGCTAAGTTTTGCATTTCATGTTGCTATTTACGATTTTGGCCAATTATTCATCTAAATCCGTATGAGAACTCATTGAAACAAAGTTTAGACTAGCAAGAATATATGAAGATATCATTTTTAATGTGACTGAGCTACTGTTTCTAACAGCTTTGTGAAAATTTATAACAGATTTATGGGTGGCACCCATACATAATACTAATACAATCCTATGAGAGTTTGTAGCATTTTATGACAGTTGTCTTTTTTACATTGAGCTACATGAAAATAGTTTTGGTGGAGCAGAATTTTTTATTTGGATAATCAGCGGTGATTTAATATGATCTGAAACTGAAACTTCGGGTGAAAAAAATTGAAACTGCGCAGATAAATATAATAAATGTATATCAACTTTTTGGTGAAGGTGATTACAAAATCTTTTTTGTCGGGTTATGAAATTGGGGAAAATAAAAGTTGCAGAGAAAAATTGGTAGAACTTTTCAGTAATTTCAAAGAAAAAAGGTTTCATTGCCTAATCTTGTTCAGATAATAGAATGCATTTTCAGCATTGCTGTCATATCTGCACCAGTTGAAAAAATATTTTCAGTAATGAATATCATATAATTTGAAGAAAAACGAAGAATAGCTGAATTATCGCAAAAGCTTTGTTAAGCTTCAAAATTAGCAATGAACTAACTTGCAGTGAATTTTTCTATGTCGTTAAAAAGTAGCAAAGAATTTTATCAAGTTCAAGCTGGTGATAAATACTTATAACATTTTAATAAGGTATGCTCATTTAAAGTATCAAAAATTTCTTTTAATTCATCAACCGCTTTTTATTCTTATTCATAATTTGTTTATTTAGCTTTCCAATATTCAAAAATATTTCTCATAAAACTTTTAAAGTAAAAATATATGTACAGGTGCCCCTTGGCGATTTTTGGCAGTAAATGGACACAGAGTTTGTGTAATTCTATGACTTGTTATTTTGGCTTTATGTAGCGGCGATTTTTGTGCCAAAAATCACCACTACACAAATTTAAAATAACAAGTCAAAGAACTGCACAATCTCTGTATCTATCTACACATCGACTTCTTTTCACTTAAAAAACGTCAGAGAATTGCACAAACTAGGCATTGCGCACTCACTTTGTCCATGTACACATCAATCTATACTCACTTAAAAAGTCAAAGAAGCAGCTAACAAAAAAATATATAATATCAATAAGAAACTACATTTTAAGCAAACAATGAAGTAACACAAAGGAAATTTCCGCTTACCTTATTTATAAATTTCCCCATCATCAGTCAAAGAAAATTCCTTAACAGCATCCAAAAACTTCCTTTATATGAACTAGAATCTGTATACTGGCATTGCCACATAAATTCACAAAAATAAGAGTAAAAAATATCCTCCATACTCATTTCCTTCCTACAAACAGGACACTTATAATGGTTATGCTTTTTTCCCTTTCATTCCAAATCGTACAGAAATTTCAAAATAATCTTGCCACTTTCAGCCATTTTGCCGTGTAAACCACAAAACAAGCTATATACTTCTTATCCAAAATCGGACACACAAACAAGCCTTCCATATCTTTTCCCATCGTTCAAATTCACCGCAACCTTGCAACTAATTACGTCAAAATAACGTTTCCATAGCATTCAACTACTCAGGTTATCATAAATGAAACAACAACTTATTGATAATCCAAGAGGCATCCTTAAATCTACTCTAACCACTTTTAAATATACAGACAGGCATCTTGTATTCAGTCCAGAAAATTAAACTAGTATAGTATATATATTTGAAGAAGAGTCAATGTATAAAGGAGGAGGATCATTTTTGGAATTACAGTGAAGGAAATAACTTATTGGAGGCCTTTTGGGAAAGTGTACGGTTTGAGAGACAAACCTTTAATTAGTTGGAGAGTTAATAAGTCAAAATTAAATGAAGAATTAGAATTGTAAATATTTAAATATCTCTATAGGCATTAAAAAATTACTGTAGTGTTGTTTCTTTTAATAGAAATGTAATTTGCTGATTGTAAATTTAATTTCAGAATAGCATGGACTGTATTGAAAACTGCATTTCATTTACTGGATTAAAAAAGAATTTATCTCGTCCACTTTCTTCAGCCTATTTTGGCTATTACGATTATTTCATTCCAGCTGGTAACCTTAGTTCTGCATTTGGTAAGTAGTTTTAATTCATCATTTAATGTTTAACCTTCTAGTGGACGCGTTCTCATTTATTTCACGAGCGAGCATGTCTTGTGATTTTTATGACAGAATGTTTTCGTCTATTTTTACAGGTTTAAACTGTTACAAATGCAAAATGTTTTATAAAAATTAAGAAAAAATTTCGTCTGGACATATCCTTAAGAGTTTGGACTGTATTATAAAGTATTGTAGAGCTCATTGATTAATAACCTGATGACACTGCCCAGGCATTTTTTGTAAAGAAAAGGTAACATTCAATCAGCTGCACATTTACCTTTCCTAATTATTTATGAATGATTTAAGGCTTAAGTAACAACAGACAAAAAATAAAATATAAATAGCAAGATTCAAGGGGAACTAACTACGGTCATACGTGCCCTCGCTTGGCGACAAATTTTTTGCCAAAAATGTTTGGCGAGAAACTCCACGGTGCAATATTACTATCTAAATTTGCAATATGTAAACTTTAAGCCTAAAATGTCTGCAAAAACCTAGTTTTCGCACATGAAAAAATTACCTGCAACCATTTGCCTGCAAACTCAAACAACTCCAGCAAAATAGTTTCAATATCAAAAGGGTTGCCATACAAGTAACATTACACCAAAAACCAGCACAGAACATATATTGCCACATGGTGGTTGTGGCAGAAGATACCATTTAAGTCTGTACAGAGTTTGGCCAGTAAATGTAGATAGATACATCTGGTCTTGCATTATCTTAATGGATCATTACCTTTTTGCACCGGAATTCAGTTCAACGTTCTTCCTTGAGAGCAGCATCACAGATTAACATCATTGTACACCTTACTGTTGAGGGTTTTACCTTTTTCCAGATACCCTTTGTGGATGATACAGCTATCCCACCAGGTACAAAGCATGATATTAGTCAAGTTGTACTTTGTAACACTGGTAACAGGCTCACTGGGCACAGACCAACATCCTTTTTGTCTTGTGTTGTTAAAGTAAATCCACTCTTCATTACAAATGATGATCTGTTCAAGAATTTTATCTGTGTGTTGATATTAGAGCAGATTAGTGCAGGCTAGAATGTGCCTTATCTGCTTGAGTCAGCTCATGCAGCACCCAGAAGTTGAACATGTACATCAAGTTTATGCAGTGCATAGTGTGACTAATGGGCATGGCTCTAACGTCTAAATCTTTAACAAGCTCTCAAATGGTTGCATACTGATCTTCTTCCTCAATTTCTCATAGGCAGACCTCATCAACATGAGGCCAGAGCACTTTGCTTCTTGAATGTCATAATCCTTGCTTTTGAACTTTTCGTACCGAATCTTCACAGTCTCATATGATACAACATTAGTATTTAAAGCTATATACATCATTTGGTGGCATTCTGTAACTGACTTTTTGCAATAGAACTGGAAGTAAATAATGGTTCTAATCTGGTAATGTGATAGTTCCTGATAATGATAATTTTTTACAAATTTTGCAACGCAGTGTTCAAATGCAAGTCTCTTTCAAATGTCAAAAATTATTTGACAAAATATGATTAAACATGCCTATGGGAACTGTTTGTGCAGACAGTATATATATGACAGTATGTATATGCGGCAACGGGAAACTTCGATATTAGTGTGTATCGCCTCTAGTGGAACGGTACTTTGGTACACCAGGGTGCCTGGGCCGAAGTACCTATCCCAGATCAAACACTTGTGTTCCTTTTAATATTGTAGAAAACAGAAGGTAAAAATCATGGTAAACTAAGGCATAACAGTACAAGAATGACTTGATTAATGAGTGACCCAAAAATTGAATGGCATCAAAGTAAAAGCATCTGGAGCTGGTGACATGAAGTACTGAAAGGGAAGTAATTAGAAACATACAAGGAAGTACAATGATCTGGTGAATTGCCAAGGAAAATAACTATAATATGATGAAACCCAATTGAAGGTAAGAAATAAAAGGAGCCTTAAGCTAACCGAGATGTATGATGCATTATAAAGAGGTAATCACAACACTTGAAAAATACTCAGAATACAATAAACATATTTACAAAAAGGACTGAGCATAAAAAAGAAAATTACACACTTGTGTTCTGTACATTATCAGTGTTGTGCATAAGTATGTAATGGGCACAGAACAGAATTTAGTGTTTGAAAAATGTGTCAGCTTAAAATCTATATATGCATCATCTGTCCCTTACATGCATTCTTCAGTAATGCATGTTTGGGGTGCCCATCCAGAAAAGGGTTAACAAACACTTTTTTAAATGATGGGGTCTCTTAATATTGAAAGTAATAAACTGCACAATTAATTTATATCTTAGTTTATGAAAATGAAACATGGCTTATAATGGTCGGTCTTACAATCAATTTATCTAAATTGCCCTGCTTGGCTACAGTTTTATGGATGATGGGATAATACGCAAGTATTAATTTTCATTAAAGCCATATTATTTGACACTTTTTTGTTTCGGCATATTTTCCCCATGTAGTGTGTCGCAAGTTTGGGTTGGTTTCTTTCCTTGTGATAATTATCATCACTTTTGCAACAATATTTTAGATGCTTTCTCTCCTCTTTTTTTTTTTCCTCACCCCTTTTTTTCACTTTTGTGGATTATAGAACTTGGAATCTGCATGGAAAACTGCTGTTTCTTCAAGAAAGATTGTTTTTCGCAAAAAAGGCTTGTGTATGAATGATCATGTTGTGAAATTAAAATGTGACTTGAAGCCAAAATGGAGATACTGTATTAGCTCACATTGGAAAGAAGGTGTCCAAACACAAATGTAGGTTGTTAGATCGTGCATTCCTTTTGTTACTCCTATTCTCTTCAGTTACATGTGATGTCCGGATTAAATGTCTATTGAGTTTTGCAAACCAAAACTTGCTTCAAATAAATAAACAAATTGCAATGTAACATTTGATTAGAATAAGACATGCATGTGCCAGTTCCTTTGTATCTCGTCTTAAATGTTAAAATTGGCAAATTCAACAAAATTGGGAAGATTAATGGAAACTTATTTAATAGAATGTAAGCTGTGCTCTTTTCCTAGGATGGGTTTTGGGAGATTTTAAAATGTTTATTATTCCTCTTTTCATTCATTCTACTTCTCCTAACCAAATGTGTAGGGAACGGTGAAGGACAAAATGTGCAATAGGCCTTTAATGATAATTCACAAATATTTTTTTAATTCAGAAAATAGTAAAAAGAGATCTTTCTGGATGACTTTTTTGTATATGTGTGTTGTGTGTGTGTGATTATATTATTCAGAGTTGGGGTAGTAAATTTTGGTGAAAATTTTCTAGAAAATTTGGGATATTTTATATTTAGTGAATATTAGATTTTTTGCAAGTTTAATTTGCAAGTACAATATGGTAGCTGGCCATAAATTATGCCAAGCACTTTTTAATGCATCTGGAGAGACATCCTCCAACGATCTTGCAATGCCCCACACAGCAGATTGTATGCTAAAAAATTTCAAAAAGTCTTAAATAGTGTTACCATTGTTCAAGAAATTTAACATAGATTTTAAAAATGTTACTTTATATTTGCATTTCAGTTTGTGCAGTGCACTATTCCCATATCCATAGGCTGAATGATAGACGTACAATTTTATTTGCGCACTATATAACAGGGAGAATCTACTCCTTTAAATGCTCGAGGTTGTGCATGTTTTCCGATTACGAAAAATTTGCACTTATGCGCTCCTGCAGCATTTGAGCATGCTAAAATTTATTAGTCTCGCTTTTTTTTTGAGTCTTTGACACCAGTTGGAGCCTTTTCTGTAGACATTGCCAACGTATTTCACGGTACATATTGCCAGAAAAGATCAGTTTCATCAGCGTTGTAAATTTGTTACTAGTAATGAGTTCAACGAATTCATCTGCGAAGTCTTCAGCAGCTTCAGTATCAGTTGAAGCTTCTTCACCTGAAATTTTTAATTGTCTTATACCATGACGACTTTTTAATTTGGTTAACCAACCTGTCGAATATGTGCACTCAGTGTTTAAGTTCATTTCTTCATGAAATATTTTGGCTTGAGCCATTAGCATTGGATCTGTCAGTGGCATGCCCTCGCTGCGACGCTGTCTGACCCATTCAATCATGACTTTGTCATGCTCATCACTTTTAAGCATAATGAACCCTTTTTCTGTTATTCATTGCAAGTCGGGTGTCGGAATCCACAAAAAATTCAAAAAGTTCCTTTTTCTTTTGCTTCATGTCATATACAGTTGACTTTCCAATGTTATACTCCTCGAATAATTTTGAGACAGATATGCCTTTATCCATTTTTTGCAGCAATTCCACTTTTCGTTTGATGGACATCGAAACGTGCTTTTGCTTTGTAAATCCTTTAGCAGCTTCAGAATTGGAAACTCTTTTTTTGACATAATCAAAAGTTCAAGCTTAATTTTTATAAAATTGCTCTAACAGTCTGCAAAAAATAATAAGCCGGATCCAATTAGAAGATTAAGGAACAGTGCAATCTGCAACATTAACTGAAATGGATAATTAGATAATTTTAGCTTAGCTTATACTGTCCGTTATACATTACACTTGCATGCGTAAACCGATTACGCGCATGCATAAAGCATACAAAAAAAAGTTTGTGGCTTTGAGGTCCGGATTATAGATCATTCCTGATAACGGACGTCCAGATTACGAACTTTGTACTGTAGTATATAATTGGTATAGCAGTAGTTATTTGTGTAGTAAAATTTTTGGAGGTATTAATATAAATCCATGGCTGTAAACTTATTTGAATAAATTTTAGAGCAGGAAATTTCATGATATAAAATTAAAATTTTTTCCTTAGTTTCTTAATTTGTATGATTTTGTATTTTCCTTAAATATAGTGTACAAATACGATTTTAATTCTTTGGTTATTTTTTATTGGTTTTTGGAAATTTTAAAACATTAATCCAAAATGCTGTTGCTATCCAGTGATGGATAAACAGTTAGAAGTGGTACGACTTTTTTTTTTTTTCCCCAATGGCAGACTGTGAACAATTACAAATGTAACCCAGTCCATTAATCTATACAAGGCCGGATGTGGCGGTCTCCTTATTATGGAAGCACCTAATAGGTGGGCCATGATCGCCTTTTCTATGAAGGGACTGTCAGTTACAACCATGCCTTCTCCGGGTTTCGAACCCAGGCCCTTTGGCATGGCAGTCAGCTTCCTTGACCGCTATACCAACTGGGCGGCGAAGTGGTATGACTTGATATGTATAAATAAGAACATAAAAATTTCTACTTAATTTTTTTACACTGAAGCTGTACTTTACCTTTTGATTCTTATATATAAAAATATCTAATTTTATTACAACTAAAGTTAGAATTCATTACATTTTTGTATTTTGTTTTTAGGTAAAAGTACTGCTAAAAAACGAAGTATGCCTTCCCTTTGTAAACAGACGAATTTTTTTAATGATTTACTCCAACAATTAAAACAACCTAATGATGATGGTGTGGCAGTGGCAAGATGCTCCTTACCCTGGATGCCAAAATCAAAACAAGAGGCAAAACAACAGGCCCTTCCTGCATGTCATGTAACTAATCAAGATAAATTAGAGGTGAAATCTGCACATTCTTCCAGAAAACGTACAAAATATGCTTTGTCAAATTTTGATATGAATGTTCTAAGTCCAACTTCTTGGTAATTTTCTTATATAAATGAAACACTTCTAAATGCACTGTTATGTATTTTGATGGCTAACTGTGGAATTTTTTAAATGTTGCTATGTAATATTATAACAACACTGTGTAACTTTACCATGTCTCTATTTTGTATTTTCTATGCATTTTTTAAAGTGTGTGTTGGTGTATGTGTAGTTATCAGTAGTTATTGTTAAATGTCACCATTAGAGATCTCATTTTATGCATTTGGAATCTTTCTCATATATTTTGTTAAACTTTTAAAATAAAAATCCAGTAAATGAAAAGTGCTTTTGGGAGAATTTTTATAACTGGAAAATCTTAAACTTTTCTGCATTTCCATGCAATTGCTGATTTAGTTCAGTCTCGCACTAAATTTTGTACATTTTTGTGGTAAATAGATGTGAAAAACACATACATTGATAATACATATGAAGTGTATAATTTCATCTTTGAAGTAACTAAGTTAACAGTAAGGGCAGACTTTGTTAAATGTGTGCAGAATTTATATTCAAAACTAATTTTGAAACACAAGCTGTAAAATCAGTTATATCTTGAATTTGACAAGTAGACTAATTACATGATATTTCTTATGTGCAGCATAAATTTGAATTACTTTTCTATAGTCCCATCTTAAGATTTTCCTTCCAATGCAGTTATATTGATGTAATAAATTAGATACCTAATTTATTTATATACAATTTATGGTATATACATAAATTATATAGGTACTTTTCCATTTCGCCGTTGCAAATCTCGCCAAGCACATTTTATTGGCGACAACATACAGATAAAAAATATTAACATATGTTAGTTCTAAGAATTTTTTATTTTGAAGGCATAAACATTTTAATATTTAAAATTTTGTAAGAAACCAATAAATAAAGACTATAAATTTGTAAATAAGACATTAATTTAAGAAAGCACTGTGGGTGATCGGTTAACGAGCAGTTCAGACAACGAACACTTTGAGGAAAGATTTTTGTGTTCAAACAACGAACAAAAACTAATTCTAACGGAAACCTCTTGGCTGTCGGAACACCCAACACCAATCCTCAATTCGTCCTGAAAATGGATGTGCGCGTGTGCTGACATGTCATCATTGGATGTGCAAGTGCACTGGCACATCATCATCCATACTATGTAGCAGTGAGGCAGCGCCGTACGACGCATACGGTAGTGTGCGATGATACTTTGTCTACCATAGTTGGTTTCTGTCCTTTTGATTTCCGTATGTGCTTCTCTGAACACTTTATAAAAAAAATCTGAAAATCTGACAATATTATGGGACCTAAAAAGAGTGCAGTGTCAAGAACTGTGCTCGCCATAAAAACCAGAAAAGAGATTAAAACTAAAGATAAAAATGACTGATGTTGCTAGGCAGTATGGCTTGAACAGGTAGGTCTACACTAGGCACAATCCTAGCTAAGAAAGCTCAACGACAGTTGGATTCTGCCTGGCGAAAGCTGTGTCCATCCCTCGTTCAAGGAGACAGAGGTGATCAGGGTGACACCCCTGAAATTATGGATGAAATTGTAACAACTGCGAGAGATCTGGAATTGGAGATGAACGAGGATGGCATTTGAGAGCTCAATGGAACATGAAGGTGACTTGACGTCAGAACTCCAAGAAATCTTGAATGAAGAACACAAAGAAACTCAGCAGAATTTGTTTCCTTCTGAAAAAGAGGAGGACAAAAGAGAAGCAATGCCGACATCTGCCATTAAAAGATCTTTTGAGGAAGTGGGAGGATGTCAGAGCAACGGTCTTAAAATGGCATCCAAACCAAGCTGATGTCAATAGCATTACTGATCTCTACAACTACATTGCTATCAATCATTTTCTGAAAATCCTGAAGGAGAGAGAAAAACAATCAACATTGGACATGTTCTTTAATGCCCAAAGAAAAAGGACTGATTAATAAGTAAGACTATATGTATGTATTATATTTGTAATAAATAAACTTAGTAAGAAATTATACTTGTACATGACATTTTTTTTTAATTTAATTGTTGGGATCTCCAGAACAAATTAATCGAATTCCCAATTACATATATGGTAACTCGGTGATTGGTTAACGAACAATTCGGATAGCGAATATAATCTTGGAACGGATTATGATCGTTAACCAATCACCCACTGTACTATGCTTTCATGGTTCACCATCCTGATTTGCCGGTTCATATCACGTGACCCCAAGTGATCTCATCTCACGTAAACTATGCTGCAAAAAATCTAATTCTATAATCTACATTTAATTTCAAGTTAAATCTTAATTGGGAGTACAAATGTAAATGCAAGAATTATTTCAATTCGTACGAATAGCTTACTCAGAAATTGTGTAAAACTGCAGTGCTTTACTTTGCTAGTGCATTCTTATTAGAATTGATAAATTTAACCCTTGACTTTGCCTTTTCTGTATTATTATCGCCTTCGGCTGAGTGGTATGATTGCATCTTAATTGACTTAATTATCATGAATGGCCATAGGGCATAAAATTGAACTATCTGGTAAAAATTCTATGCAAGTATTGAAAGAAACAATCAATCTGATAAGAAATTGCTGCGATCCTTTTTGAAAATCAGGCGTAAAAGGTTACCAGTGAGGGTATTCTGTTTGTCATCAGTTGTACCATTATTGATGACATTAATCGCCTGCGCGGCAAAACGGAAAAGTACCGTTCTATATTTATGTATATACCTTATAATAATAATAAAAAATTTATGTATATAAATTAGATACCCAATTTATTACTTTTATGCAGTTACCTGCTGGAGGTAGCTAGATTCCATCACTTAATGGAAAGGTGAAACATTTTTTTTAAACAAATATTTTAAACAATATATCCTGAATATTTTAAATTGTCAGTTAAGTTAATTCTGGCGTTTTTAAAGAAAATGAGAGTTAAGAATTAATAATTCTGTATAGCACATCCTAGACAGCTTCGTCTTTCCAAAAACATGCTGAATAGAAAGTGAATAAGAGTAATGGTTAATATTCTTTAAAAAAAAAATATTAAATACTAGTGGGCTACGGCCAAAGCAATATTTATAATTTTTATGTACTGAAAATAAAATTAACTATTGATTTAATGCACTGTATACAAAGTTGCTAGCTGCGACCAAAGCTAAATTTGAGGTCTGTGTACACCTGAAATAAAAGTGCATAAAAAAAAAAAAATTTCAGTATGAATGAAGTCTATTCATTCTTTCCAAGCAACAACTAATTCGTAATTTTTTTTTAAATCAAACCAGGAAACAAAAACATTTTACACTTCAGGTTAATACATATGACATCATGATTTAAATTTAATGTAATATAACAACCTTTTGTCAATATCAATAAAATAATTAATGTTGCAATAACATACCATGTGAATTATCTTAATCTGGAAAAAAAAAAAAAAAAAATGAAATTTTTAACAGTAGCTATTTAAAATGCTGATATTGGCAAAAACTTTTTGACATACAACGACGTCAGATGAAATCGCATGCTTTCTGTAATGTCAGAACATGACCTTATAATAATAATAATGCATTTAATGTTTGGAAAAATTATTTTTATTTCATATTGTGTAAAACTTACAAATTTTTTGTTAACAGACTCTACAGACTTCTTGAAAGTGAGCAGTGGCAACACTTTTTGAAATAAAGCTGATTTGTATCTCAACGCATGAGACTGCTGCCACGCGGAAAAATGGAGTGCAAAAATTAAGGTTTTCTGCGTTTCGAATTAATATCTTGGCTGATTAAATTTGTACAAAGATGAGAATGTGCAAAATGGCTTTCCACGAATTTTTGGACACAAGAACAATGTATTTAATGTTTGGAAATGCTATTTTTTTATTTTATATTCTATAAACTTAAATTTTTATTTAGAAATTGAGCAATTTGAAAGTGAGCTGTGGCAATACTTTTCGGAATAAAACAGATTTTTATTTCCAGTGTGCAAGACTGTTGCGACTCGAAAAAATTGGGGCCAAAATTAGTGTTTTTAATTTACATCTTGGCTGATTAAAGTATGAATTGGTATGAAACCTATGAATTTGTTTGGTTTGAGTGTGGTTTAAATGCTTTCTGTGTGTGTGTGTCTTGTACGGAAAAGAGTATGTTAAGTAGGCGGCATTGGATGCATCGTTGCAATAGACGTAAAAATACCCAAATGTTTCTTTCCAAAGTTGCAAAGAATTTGTGACATTTCACTAGCAATATGGATAATCAGAAATTACCAAGTCTGCTGAATACTTCTTTGGTCATAAACCAAAACAATCATAAAAAGGCTATTGCCTTCATGGAATACTACTAACAAAAACTGGTTTATATCTGCATTATACGTAGGGGAAATCCATAAAAATATGTGTGCAGCCAGCCTGTTCGTCCTCAATCAAAGTACTCATGTTCACTGATGTTTATCACTCAACCATTGATGAACTCCCTCCTCCCTCCTGTGGGAATTTTAGCATAGTAATAGATCACATGCTCTAGTTTTTATTGTCTTCACCAAAATCTCAGACTTAGCTTTTTGTATAATGGAGCTCACTTAGGCATCAGGCAGCATTTTTTATTCATTGCATCTTGGGCTTTTGTTGCGGAAATTGTGCGTGATGCTGAGTTTCTGTAATTCTCTAGTTTTCTTTTTAGCGGAAACAGATTGCTATGTATATGGGAAGAACGACAGTGCTGAAAAAAATGTTTTCTGTGTGTGTGTGTGTGTGTGTCTTGTATGAAAAAAAAAGTGTGTAAAGTAGGCGGCATTGGATGCATTGTTGCAATAGATGTAAAAATACCAAAATGTTTCTTTCCAAAGTTGCAAAGAGTTTGTGACATTTCACTAGCAATATGGATAATCAGAAATTGCCAAGTCTGCTGAATACTTCTTTGGTTCTGATCTTAATGCAACTGAAACAGAATACATGAAAATTATTATATATTCTGTTTGTATTGTTGAAATCTTTACGACTGGTGTGCATAGTTTGTTTCGAATTTAATTTTAATCCCTTTTGTAAAAAATAAACATTTAAAAATTTTTCAGCAAAAATTCATAATATATAGTTTGATACTTCACGTCAAACTTCATGGTACTTCACATCAAAATATTTATTGTGAAAATAGAACATAAAAGAGCATGTTTTGTAATATTCATTTTTCATTCGTGTATGATTTTTTCTCATTCATTGCTGTTATGAATATGTCTGAACATTATCAGCCACAAAACAACAAACAAATATTTTTAAATTATTCATAAAGAATACAGAGAGATTGATATTTCTATGTCCAGCTGCCTAGATGGT